GGGGAGGGAGCTGGATGGCTGCGAGCTGGAATCTGTTCGGTTTGGGGGGCGAGGAGGATCTAGGAGGGAAATGGGGAAGCCTCTGGCTCCTGGAGGATCCTCGGCAGTAAGAGAGTGCAAAGCCACCTCGGACAAATCTCCCCCGGGACCCGGCCTCCTCTCCTCCCCTCGGTCCAGCTCCAGCTCCCCCTCCAGGCCCCGCTCTCTGCGGGACTCCTGGAGCGACAGCTGGATGGCCAGCAGGATGTTGGGGTCGTCTTCATCGAGGGAGCCCAGTGCCCTCCTGCAACCCTCGCTCCTCTCCTCTGAAACACAAATCACAATAAAACCAGGCTCACTTTTAAGTGCCTTGATTATAAATTGATCCGAGTGATCAAAGTGTCTGTGCACTTCGATCGGTCCAGAATGATGGAGCAATAAAATCARATCTCATTTTCTGGCTGTCTGCTGCAGCGAGAAGTCAAAGTTATTAATGGAGGCACAAAAAGAAAGCTGGATTAGGCCTCTTTTTATTAATAAAAATACAGAAATGGAAACTGCACAAGCATATTGCCTTTTGGTGATAAAAGAACTCAAGGAGTGTAAAAACCTCAGCCCAACCTGTGTTCTCACTCCTCCTGCTGGTCTCAGGTGTGTTGCTGCTGCTTCGGAGGCTGTGCAGACTCAGCATGTCTCCTCTGCGCCGGGGTCTGTGTCTACGACGGTACTGGATGTCAGCATAATCCTGCAAAGAGGCATAAAAGTGGAGTTATTATAAAACCCATTGCTGCTACCTTGTGAGGCGGTTTACATCGAGCGGGTTTACAGCCTACAGGAAACGGGATTCAGGCCATGCGTTTGCACAATACGCCAGGAAGCCTTGGTGCATTACCTGGGCCTGTCTGTCTCTGGGATCGCTGGCTCCCAGCACAGAGTGACGGCTTCCCATCTTAACACACATAAGCAAACTACGTCAGCAGATGCAGCCGTCATGCATTAATAATAAATGAAAAAAACTCCCACACAGGCAAATGACAGCATACGTTTAGAAAGCATCAACTCAAAAGGGTTAGCAGAACAAAACAGGTTAGTGTTTCAGTGTTTGATCAAAGGRGTCTGTTTTACCTCAGGAGAGGCGAAGCCAAGGTACTCCCAGTCCCATGATCCTCCGGGATAACTTAAACAGATTTACACAAAATATAGTTTGTTATTATTATTTTAGGAGTAAAAAAAAATCAGTCCATGTCCCTGTTGTTCTTAATTTACCCTCAACATTTTAAACAAAACAAGATTATCTTTTAGTGTGTTTTTGTTTACTTCCTGCGTGGAGGCTCAGGAGAGTCGTTGGGAGCGACGCCACGAGCCACCGAGGCCAGGAACTCCTGCCTCTTCTGCTGCACCAGACACGCTGCTGTGATTATCTTGTGGCGTGGCGTCCTCAGGTACGGCCGATTGACCTTCTGGGCCAAATCCTCCACCACCATCTCCAGGTCGGTCTGGGAACACAGAGGGACAAAACTGTGACTTCCATCTGCKCACAAACAAATAAACCTTTGGGTGGTTAAAAAAACCTGCTAAAGTCAAATAAAATAATGTAAAACCAAATCATTTACTCACATCCAATTTGTGTTTAAGCAGTTTAGATGCAACAATTCTTTTAATGGGAATTAGTTGTAACATGACAAACGTGTGAAAATATATGTTGATATAACATTAGCGCCCAAGCTAATGCATGCASATTATGGGTGTAACAATGCATGCATCTGTATCGAATCTTTCAATACACACTATGTACTGAACAATATAGATTTTTWAATTTATTTTATCAACTTGTTTTCTGAAGATGCTGTGTTGAAGGATCCGTGGATCTGTGTTCGACTACTCCACCTAGGCTGCACTGTTGAGTACAGATCCACTGAGAAACTTGCTGTTTCAGCAACATTTTATTTAAAAACTGTACTTTTGAGGTTAAACAAATGTTCATAATTTCATTAAATTTACAAGTTAAGAAGGACATGGAAATTTCTCTTTTTTTGTATCGAAAAAATATAGAATCGCGAGACTAAAATRTCGAATCGAGCTGTGAATTTTCTGTATCGTTGCACCCCTAATACACATATGTCACCACAAATGTATTCGTAATATAATATAAGCCTTCAGGTTGGACAGAGCTTGCTTGAAACCTTGCACCGGAGCATCCGGTAAACGTGTTCATGCAAACACACGTTCATTTTGCACCTTTGTCAGATTACCTGCATGAGCTCAAATATCTCTTTCTGCGTGCTGCCCTGCTGCAGGAAAAAGCCGTACGGGTAAGAGCACTTCAGAATGCGCCGCGTCTTCAGCAGCTCGGTCACGCCGTCCTCGATGAATCGCGTGTCTGGAGAGGTTCCCTCACCTGCAACACACACACAAACACATATACGTAGATGTTATAACACAAAAAAGATCCACGTATTTTAATGACTGAGGAGGAAAAGCTTCCGACTCACGGCAAATGAAGGCTCGGCTCAGCTGCTCCATCTTCTCTTTAGCMGTTTTTAGCAGCTTTTGCTCCAACTAACACACAGAACATACGTACACATAATAAAAACATGTCTTTCTCCAGAATCCTCACTGAGTTTTCTGTTCATACCTTGTAACTATGTTCATGGTTCTTGAAGCGAGTGTAGTAGTGCATGAAACGGTCTAGTTCCTGGAAACTTTTGTGCTTCTTTTCTGCCTGTAAAAAATAATAAACAAAATAGAGTAGTCTCAGTTTCATTTAAAATTCCCGGTGTTGCTTCCATGTGTACGAGAGTACATTTAACGCTGCAGGGCATTAAAACATGAGCCTAAACTGTGTATTAAGTTACTCTATCAGGGATGAATGTGAGCAGGTGTACTGCCTGAAGACAATATAGACACTTTACACCATTCACAGCTTGTATGTGATTATCTGAGCTTGTGCAGAGAGATCAGTGTGTATTATGCGAGAGTACGAGTGTTTATACCTCGACTGTCATCTCTTTAGACTGCTCCTCAAGCTGCTGGATGACCTCGTAGCGAGTACAGCGATAGTAGCCTCCTGTAGACGAGCTGTGCTTCTTCCACTCCTCAAGGCAAATCCAACAAAAGTCATATTTACACTGCAAGGAAAATACAGCAGGGTTATTTTAATCATTTTAAAGTTGAAAATATTATATTCCAACATGTTTTATTAGAGACTGGACAGAGAGGTTTTTGTGTGTACCTTGGCACACTGCATGTGGTTGCAGCCCTCGTTCTTCTGAATGGGCGACTTGCAGTTGGCACATGGTTTGGAGTTGGTCAGCAGCCACAGGCAGTTAGCAGCGTCCTCGTAGGCCTCGCTCACTCCTGCCACTGAGGAACAACACACATCAACAACAAATGCACGCACCAACACCTGCTCCACACKCGCACAATCAGCAAACGTTAATCACCAAACACCTGCCAGGCCGTTAAAAAAAGATTTATTACAGACTTCCTGGTTGGAAGTCCTGACAGCTGCTGCAGCYGAAGTGATCCTCGGTTTCTCTCGAAAGTTCTTAGAAACACGCTTACACTCCTCGGGCTTCATCTCGGTGACTTTCTGGAGCCAGTTTCTCCACATCTGACAATCACACGGTTCGTGGGCCTCGCCGAGGCATTCCCTGCCGACACAGAGGGAGATCAACAGAGAACACGGCTAAAAGCCACTCACTGAGACAGTTAAGATAGCAAGCTTAAATATTAAACTGTTCCACACACACACGAGACGTTTGCCGTCAATAAAAAATCTTTACAACATTTCTGTGTTTATAAAGTTGTAAATCACGGCATTTACCAGCAGAACAGATGACCCTTGCCACAGTCTACAGCAGGAGAGGGCAGCAGTGGGATGCTGTGAGGGTCGTTGTCCCCGGGGCCCGGTCTGGTGAGCCTCACGGCCCGCTCACAGCGAGCCACAGGACACCAGCGGATGGATGGATTGTTCTCCACAAAGGCCTGCAATACAGAGAGGTGAGAAGAGAAGGCAAATACAAGTTAGAAAACACACGAGGTGCTTAGAAAGCATGACAAAAATGGAGCTGCAGACACTTGTAAGTGACTTGTAAGTGACGTGTGACGTCACGAGTCAATATTGGCATTTTCCGATTTTCAGTCAACACTCAAAAGCTGTACCTTGATATCAAACTGTAGATACCGCTGGTCCATTTCTCTGGAAACCAGGCTCTCGATCACGTGCACCGGCACCAGCTGGTAGCACTCGTACGCCGGGCAGAAGATGTTGTGAGCGTCGCCCTCCTGGATCTTTACATTTAGGAATCTGAGAAACACAACGAGGCAGTTCGGAGAAGTGAAGCCCATCAGCTGCAACACAAACATTTACGCAATCCAGTTTTGGACCCTACCCCTCCCAGCAGGATCTGCAGAACTCGTGGCCGCAGGACATGTCGATCGGGTCCTCGAAGACTGAGATGGAGCAGAGGCAGATGCCACACTGTAGGGAGGTTAAAAAACAAAACAAAACAAAATCATATTACCTATACTGTTCAAACCATTTTCAGACAAGTCTTCAGTCTGTGAAAGCATGAGTAATTWGGTATTGATTGCTTATATTAATGGTCTTATAAAACTTTATTTAGATGGTGTGTGACAGTGACAAACACCTCAGTCTCTCCGAGTGAAACTGGACACCAGTAAAGTGAGTCAYGGTTCTTACAAACACACAGCTTACTGCCAAATTCTTTCTGTTAGCGTGTCAAGTAATTATAAAGCTTTTAATAAAAAACTGATTTTATGACAGCTGAACAGCTGAGTCAGTTTTATTACAATTTTACAGTATATTTATATATATATAACTGTGACTGCATTTAGCTCTCAACTATTTTCCCCATTCATTTCACAGTTTTAGTTGAGTTTGCAGAGGTAGATTAGCTGTGGCGGCCATTTTGGATGACTCATGACCTGGCTTTGTTCTGGGCTGCAGTGAAAGATTATTTTAGTAATTGATTAATCTATTGATTATTCTGACAATTAATCTAGTAATTGGATATAAAAAAATCACGTTCTGCAGTAATTATTTAAGCTTATTTTATGAGAAAAACAATTATTCAATATTGTGAAGGGGTAATCTGGCTGCAATCAAAGTAAAATTACACGAGTTGTATTAATTCATGCATTTTAAGCTCCATTTACTTGTATTTATAAGTGTGAGCTTTGAGGAGGCATTAATTAAAAACAAACTCTTTCAATTAATCATTTTTAACCATCACAGAAAAATCTAAATGCTGTAAATTCATTGTTATGAATTAGAAAACTGAAAGTCATTTATTTATTTATTTTGGTTAGAAATTTAATAAGTAAAATGGGTAATACAAACACTTGGGTGTTGCAATTGAGTTTTGCAGAGTTCACTTGTTAAATGTAACAACAAATTCACATATTTTTAAAACGTTATTAGGTTGGTGCAGTTTAGAAAAATAGGTTTTTAATCACACAACTTACACACTGTTTAATAAAACCCTGCCAGGTCACCATGATTAGTCAGCACAAATAACGTTTGGTGTAAACATACCTCCTCCTTGTACATCTGTAACGTGACAGATTATCACAGATTTAGGTAACCGTGTTTTGCAAAGTGAACGTAAACAAATATCTGTTGTCAACYCCGGACACGTTCGGTACATGCAGCAGCTGTTTTTGTTCCAGTGCAGAAACATCGAGGATGTGAAGCGCTTTGTTTTCTTTTATGTTTAGTTTTAAATGTTCCCATGCTTTTTATAATTTTTCATTTTCTGAGCGCTTCGTTTCGCCACTCTTCATCTTCTTCTAAAGCTAAATATAGCACTTAGCAAGCATACACGCGTGACGCGTTGATAGCGTAACTGTTAGCGGAAGTGCTAATGTCGTAGCATTGTGTAACACAAACAACATTCCGGCCGGATGTAAGTGCACCGATTATAAAAACACGTATTTTTACGAAGCTTCGAGGCAGATAATTTGCCTCAAGGATTTTTAGTAATCGAATTACTCGAATTATTCGAGGAATCGTTCCAACCCTAGCTGCTGTATTTTGAAAAACATAATTTCAAATTTCAACAATTAAACAAGAAAGAATCTAAAACTTCATGAATAATGAAAAGCTGCAGGACAAGAAGAGAGCAAACTTGTAAATTTAATTCCTCTAATTAAGTCCTTCAACCTAGTCTTTCCCCCTCTGCTCACCGTGGCCAGGCCCTCCTCTCCAGGAGTGAGGCAGCTGTCGGTGGGGGAGGTGAGGGTGAGTGTCAGGGGTGATCGCGGGGTCCTTGGAGTGCGGGGAGACGGCAGGGTGTCCCAGGCGTTGTAGCCACTGGGCGGCGGGGTTGGCATGGAGACGCCGGAGCGCTGGCAGCAGCCCTCAGCGTCAGACATCCAGGCTTCAAGAAGCTTCTCTCTGTCCCAGTCTGAAAGAGACAATTAAAGACTGAAGACAGGTACTGTATGCAGTGTGTACATTTTGTTTTACATCATAAGCACAGAAAGGTTGTGAAATGATGTCACATTTCTCTGATAAACACACACCATGTGCTCGTAGCAAGGCCTCAGCTGTGAAAAGGGGGGCTTGCAGCATGTCTGCCGTCTCTACAATCAGCATGTCCTTCAGCCGGCGCAGATCCTGCAGCTTCAGGCCCTCGTAAGGCTGACAGGGCAAAGAGATAGAGAGAAAAATTAAAAACCAAAAGAAGGAAAAGTCAAGGAACAGTCAGGTTAGGGGTGGTGGAAATGAGAGATTAGGTTTTTGCACAGAGTTGGCTGCAGGATGAAAGAGCACACTGTTATCAGCTGGCAGCAGCCGCCGGTGTCAAGCTGTGCTTGGAGAAAAGGAAGTGAGGTGTGTGTACTTGTACACACTCATACTTGTAAGAAGCACTGAGTCACAACCTTTGATAAAAGAGCATACTCTGTTTAATGCTCGATTTTAACTKGAGATCATAAAACTATTGCAATCACAAAGAGGCAAAACAGCAGAACTCTTTCCAAAACGTCTGCTGGTATCTTCAATTGTTCCAGGATCTTTATAAACTAWAAGTGAGCGCACGAACATACATGAGGAAGTGCTATCAAGCATTTATTTTTTACTTTCCCGATTCTTGTCAAAAGAAAAAGCAGAAACCAACTACATCAGTGTTACTTTAGTTCTCTGCAAGGATGACTCTAGATTAGTATCAAACGTTTTTGCTCCCAACTTTCAAACTTTAAAATTTGTCCACTTTCTGCAAATCTGAAAACACAATAAGGTAAGGTAGGAACAATAAAATTAAACATAAACAAGTCTGGGTAAGAGTTTGAACTTTAGGACTCAGCATTTCCTAGAAAATATTTCGCCTGCCTAAGAACACGAGGTAAAAGGTAAAAATATCTCAGTCAGCAGGAAACCTCCTCAGATCTCAGAACTGTGGTTTCACCTCCTTGTAGTGCAGCAGGCCGGTTTCACTGTGAGCRTCTCCGTTTGACTGCTGAGGCGCGGCGGAGGAGAAAACCATCTGAGACTCCAGGCTGAGAGCCAGCTCAGTGTGGTGGTGCCGCTCGGCGTGGTCGCACGGCGTCAGCTTGTCCTCGTCCTCCACGAAAAGGTCCGCTTCGCTCTGGATCAGCAGCTGGAGAGGAAAGGAACAGAAGAAACCGGACAATGGATTTAGCAATAGATTTATAAAAACTAGAGCTTTTTCTGCTAAAACGCAGAGTGAACGCTGTGTGCTGAAGGACTTGGCTAAAATTAGCTTAACAAACAAGCTGTTAGTAAACACAAACAGAACACAGGTTGAAAACTAAAAGCTGCACAACAGTAGCAAAAGCTAACATTAGCAACACAGCTGCTAAATTTAAAAGCAGCTAAACACTAGTTAAAAGTAACAAAACAGACGTTAAGCCAAAAATTAGTAAACCAGATGCCAACATCGTAACATTAGTAAATCTGTAGCTAAAGCTAAACATGATAATGAAAGATTGAAAACAAATCTGATTAGAAACGTGTAGCTAAAAGGTAGCAAAACAGTATTAAATTGGCACAATGGTAGCCAACAGCTAAAATTAGCATAAAAAATAAAATTCATGCATTTTAAGCTCCATTTACTTGTATTTATGTGTGTGAGGTTTGAGGAGACTTTAATTAAAAACAAACTCTGTCACTGAATCATTTTTAACCATCACAGAAAAATCTAAATTCATTGTTATGGATAAGAAAACTGAATGTTTTTTTCTGTTTGTTTAATAAGTAAATTGGGTAATATAAACATTTGGGTGTTGCAATTGGGTTTTGTAGAGTTCACTTGTTGATTGTAACAAATCCGTTTAGAAAAATGTAGCTAAAAGGTAGCAAAACAGTAGCTAAACTGGCAAAACGGTAGCAAATTGCTAAAATTAGCATAAAAACACAAAAATAGAGCAAGTTTGGTTAAGCAAAAAGAACAATGAGCTGAAGAGATCTTGGTGTATTTCTATGAGAAATGTTCTTTTAAAAAAAGTTGAACATTTTGAAAATAGTAAGTTATAAAAAGTAAAAGCTAGAATATTTCCGGTCAAATCCTGAATGTTTTGATGACRCTGACTCAGCATTCACACGATTTATAAATTAGTGGAAAAGCAAGTTGACACAAGAGGTGTGAACAGGGTTTTTGAAAGTGGTGAACATGAAAAAGAAATGAATTTTCTCAGTTAGGGAGTAAATGTTCCCTCAAATATCCAAGTGTGAAATTTCTTAAAAAAGAAAAAAGTGACACTCGAAACAAAAATGTATCTGTAGCAAGAATTTTTCCATTTGCCTCACCTCCACGCAGCTCTTCATGCCTGCAGCAGCAGCGTAGTGCAGACAGGTGCTGTGATGGTTATCGGTGGCGTTGACGTTGGCCCTCTCGTACTGGCCTCCCTCCAGTCTGGCCCCGGTCCAGCTCAGGATCATCTGACCATAGGGAGAACACATAAACCACTGCTAACTTCTGTTTAGTGCAAACGCTGCGTTCTGCGGACGCTCGTCTCGTCTGTACCTGAAGGCAGTCTGCACGGCGCTGCTCGTCCCTCTGCGGGCGGGCCAGCCGCGGCGATAGCGCCCCCTCGGGCAGCAGCAGGATCTGCGGGCCTTGGCACAGCACGTGGAGGCACGTCTCGTTGTGCACATTGCGCTTGTTAGGATTTCCCTCTTTGCTGAACAGGAAGGACCTATTTTTTGTTGGCCAAGAAAGAAAGACAATGAACAGAAATAGAGTTGAGAGACGGAAAACAAAAGTGGGAAAGTGAAGCAGATAAACAAGAGCAGAGACGTCAGGATGATTAAACACGGGAGCGAACCCTGGTGAATAGAAGGAACAGGAGGAGGAGGGAGGCGATGCAATATGGCAGAATATTGACTCATCTGCTTAACATCACTGATCTAATGGACATGCTGGCTGACACGCACACACACACACACACACACACACACACACACACACACACACACACACACACACACACGTGCCTGCTGCACTTGGAGCCAGGATGTGGCTCCAGCTCTGTTTAGCAAATAAATTTTATTCTCTTTATCTATGAAAACCTCCATTAACTCATCAGTTTACATCATCTGGCTCCACAGAACCAACTGGATCAGCACAATGTGAGCGATGTTGCATTTGAGAAAACTTATAGTGAAAATTCTATAAAAGAAGAAAATAACAGGAAGTGTTATTTCTGGATGCAGTAGAAGAAGTGATCAAATCAAACTTTGAGTGCAGCCCTGTGTATTTCACCATTTTGACCCTCTTACCCTGTCAGCCACAGGCCCCTGCAGCTTTGCTTTAATCACAGCACACAGCAATAATCAGTAATTATTCTCCCTCGGCTCCAAACCAAAGCCCCGCCGCAGTGTTTGGAAATTGCTTTGTGTGAATAACGTGGAACTTGACACAGACACGTCCTTCGTGTGTTGCTTCTTAAAACAATAGAATCAAACGGCTCCCAATGAGTCAGGGTGGTTATTTACATATTTTGCCCGCCAACTCACTTGATACGGAGGAAGGATTGCGCTTCCTGAACTACACCCATTTTCCCAGTAACAGGCACATCTGTTGCTTTCGACTTTTCACATCTCATGGGATTACGTGCCAAACCAACCCACAGGGACGACAAGAAGAGCAATAAGCATCAAGCAGACATGTTTATAAATAATCTGAAGTGAAAAAAACACAAACAGATTCTATTTGACCTGCCTACGTGTGTCCTATATTAGTTTATTTTGTCTGAACACCCCCCCCCGACTCCAACTTGAACTGCTGGAACAAAGAAGCATTTCCTCAGATATTTATCGGGAGCGGAGCGCTGCATTCAGCACGCCTCTCCGGCCCATTATAGGTCAGTAGGAAGGAACACAAATAGTAGATTGATTGGCTGAGCAATATTCTCAGACTCGACCACATTAAGCAGTTGCAGAGTCACAGTTTCCCCCCCACCAAAAATAAAAAAATAAAAAATGCATGTGAACACATGCACAGATAATTGACTGGCCTTTTCAAACAGCTTCCTCTAACCCCCTCTTTCCCTTGCAATCATGGAAAGAAAGAGCATGAGCTGGAGGAGAAAAATGAGGAGGAGATAAAGGACACTGAGTCACAGAATCGGCTGTTCTTGCTCATGGCCATCCGCTTAATGATCTCAGCAGGAAATACAGAGGGACAAAAAAAAAACACTGGAGTCTCGTTCGTCAAGTTTGACCCCTTTAGTTTGGTTAAACTAGAAATAGAAGCTCTTCATTTCTAATTATTTACTTGTCAAAAGTTGCAGACAGTCCCAACGGATGGTGTGAGGTTGTGCTGACCTGCTTTGAGCAAACGTAAAGGCAGAGAGAGACTCCGAACTACACAATGCAGTGGATTAAAATCTAAAAATACATTTACAGATGTACTACAGGGACTCAACACCACATTTTCATTAAGCAGGGAGGTACGCTCACAAAAGCAGATTATAAAAGTGCGGACAAAATTTGTATGGAAAAAGTAAAGATCTTCCAGAAAGAGACAGAACAAATAGACACACATTTATTTGCTCAAGTCTTTCTCTAAGTTCTGAGTTTAAAAACCGGAAAATGTTTTTTGAATCAACGCTGCCGATGAATTCAGTTAGAAACTAAGTCTTATTTATCTAAAACWAACCAGTTCCAAACTGGAGACGATTTAACTTGAGATACTGCTTAAAAACAAAACAAAACAAAAACAAAAAAATAAAAATAATAACGCATTTGTTGATGGTCATAATGTTACAAATTATGGTCTGCGTCACTGGAACAGCTGCGGTTAAAAATTGGTATGACGTGGAAGTCGATCAGTTTTGAGGTTGCTGGTTGCATTTCCTACGTCGAATAAAATTAACTCAGCTGAGGATTTAACAAATGATTTATACTGGTGCACTTTTTTGTGCCTTTTATTATTATTATTATTTACAAATATGTGACTGCATCCTCTTAATACAGGTGTCTGCAGAAGCCTTTTCTGCCCAGAGAACCATTTTAGGTCAAAGCTGCAGAGAGGTATTACAGAGGAACCAAAATATAATTTGCAAATCGCTGCCAGAAAAACTCTTTCTGCTAATTTTTTTTTTCAATGAAATAGTTTTGACTCATTCTTTGTGTGATTCAATACACTTTATTGTGCTCTAGTGGAAATTTGTCTTGGACTCTCGTACCAGTAGTGGCTCTTCTGACTGATAACTGTCCAGAAATGTAAAAATCCAGAAAAGAAGCTCTTTACCTGAGCAGACGTGTCATGGCATGGCGGCAGACGTAGTGCAGAGGTGTGTTGTGCTGGTACTGCTCTCCGTACGACGCGTTCGGGTCCAGGCCGTCCCTGAACTGAGGGTTGCCCTCGTACAGCTGCCAGGCCAGAGCCTCGTCGCCGCTCACAAGCGCCTTACGGAACTTGGTGGCGGCGTTGCCCATTGCTTCCTGCTCACAAAAGGGGCCACCTGCTGGGAGCTGTGGCAGATCACTCTTTGCCTGCCTACGCCTCACTCTTCCTCCTCCTCCTCTTCTTCTGCCTCCCCCGTTCACCACAGGTCACAATTTAAAGCAACATGGTTCTGTGCTTTCCTTCCCTGTACACAAACGAGAGAAAGACGATTTATTAGAAGAGTCTGATTAAAAAAAGGAGATTTTATTGTAAGTAAATGAGAGATTGTGGAGGTCAGGAAAAAAAGAGAAAACAAAAGGAGAGTTAGGAAGGAAGGTAAGGGTGAGCGAGGCTCAATCAATAAGTGCATSGACTGATCAGCTGATGTGCTGCAGAGAGGATGTTATCTTACTGGACAAGAAAAAAACAAGAGGAGAGGAAAGATGCAAGAAAGGCAGAGAGATAATTATAAAGAGGCCAAGCTGGAGGAGTGGGTTAATGATATCCAAGCCATTGATTTGTTAGTCAGATGCTAAAAAGCACGGTCAATACTACAACATCTGGCCCCTGCGACCCTCAGAGAGGTGGCTCTACTGAACTATCTGCACCTTTTCCACAGTTTTAATGCTTTTCCTGCCTCTGAGGGTTTGAGCGCGTGTGAAACCAAGCAGCACTAACACAACGAGCCGAAGCAGTTTTACTTCACCTCTCAGGAGCTAAACCAAAGAATCACAACTGTGGCTGCTCCTCCAGCAACAGCTTACTTACCTCCTGTTTTCCACTGCACTGTTTGGAAAGAGCTTGTTTAACCATCACCCCATGYCAGAGGCAAAAAGAGCCACAACGCTTTTGCTTGTGGCTTTGTGTGTTTGCAGTGTTATCAAAACATTTCCTGAACAACTCGACAGATTTTAATGAAATCTTCAGAACTTACAAGGAGGCCATTACAGTGAATTTGCCTTTTTTTTAGTCAGGTTTGTGTTCTCAGTCACTAAGTTATGACGATCAAACCACTTGGACTAAACGTGCTCTAAATTTAGCTGAAAATATTGAGGATTTCATTAAATGAGTGTTTAACTAGACTCAACGGTGAAATCCTTTGAGTGTGTTGAGTTTTAGAGACAGGCCCTACCTTCATCCTGACTGGATTTCCAACCGGACCRGTAAATAACTCATTTCTAAGAAAAAAAAAAGCCCTGTGTTTCAGCCGCACCTGACCGCTTAACAACATGTACGCTCAGATTTCACACTAGCAGATAATTGCACAACCGCTGCCAAGCTCCCGACTTGTAATTCCTGGAATTCCAAGGTTCTCCTTCTGTCCTTATTTAGCATAAGATGCAGGAAGACTTTGCGGCTACAGACAGAGCAGGTGAAGTGAACTGGAAGTAAACTTTTCCACTCAAAACAGAACCAAGCAGACAGACTGACCCATTAGCTGTGGTAACTCCCCCTCTCACCGTCATGCTGCGTACAAACRGAAACACGCAGAACTTTTAAAACATTCGGCAATTGTCCTTCTGTGGTGGAAGCTTCTGTGCACCCCCTTACCTCTCATCTGTCAGGGAGAAAGAAAAATGTATTGGGGTGCAACCATTCGCAGTATTCATATGTTCCAGAGCTCAACCAGCCAGCGGCCAACTGTAGCCGGCCTAAAAAGGGTCTCTTTGTGAAGGCCAGACAGATGGCCAYAGAATGAAGACTGTAATGATACCCTCAACGGCTCCGTACGCACACAAACTCATGCACTCCTCACACACGCCGCTCATTACTGGTGTGTGTGCGGTTAGGACGGGCAGGACTGAGGGAGAGGAGGGGAAAATGAAGGAAATGAAGCAGAGCACATTGATAAAGACAGTGATAAAACACGACATGTGACCAGAAGTGGTGAGCGTTTGTTTCTCATTTCTCGCCTGTCTGAGTACACTGTTATTTCTCTCTCTTTTTTTTTTTTTTAAATCAAGGATTTAGTATTCTTTGGCAGGAAGTAAAACATGTAATGGCTTTGGACGTTTTGCACCCGAATGATTAAAAACAGTCTAATTTTGTGGTCATGTCGTGACTACTACAACACTTTTTGTCATGAACAGCTGTCTGGTTAGCGCTGTATATTCAACACCCACAGCTAGTTTCAGACGACTCCAAAACTTTCACTTTTACTCTAAAAAGTTAGTCTGATGCTCCCCAATGTAGGCACATGACAACGTGGTTCCTGAGTCCAAAAACTGCAAACATATGAATTTATTTATCTATTAATTTCTGCTAAAAGCAACAACCCTACATTGGTTTCTGTCAAAAATATTAAACTAGCAAACAAGATGATAATGACCACGTATCATGCAAAAGCTCAGACTAAACCTGGGTGATTTTTAGATATTAATTATAAATTAGGTGTGGTAGCAGCTGACTGTCATTCAGGACACATGCGTTAAGGGCTAACAAATAATGCCTGAAATCACAATAATGCATGAGATCAGGCATAATGTTGTTTTTAACGTCTAACCAAAATGGCTACAACTCTCATCACAAGATGACCTTAATATAAAAAAACTGATTTGAAAGGTGATGGGTAGGGCTGTGTATTGGCAAGAATTTGGCGATACGGTACATATCATGACAGAGGGGTCACGATACGATATATTGCGATACTATAAGCAAGGCGATATATCGCGATTTTTTTGTCCAAAAATTCTAGTAAATAAAAACCTCTTACAGGGGAAAAAAAAAAAAAGAAAAACCAAAATTCATTGTCTCAGAAAATTCAAATATTACATTGACATACTTTTGATACATTTAGCTGTGTTCTGCTTTGTATGTGTTTTATTTGTTTCATACTAAATTGGACAATAAACAGTTTGAAAATGTATTTTTTGTAGCTTTTAGTTTTTAGTATTAATTTACAATATGGTCACCCAACACCCAAATGGCTGGCTCACTGCTGCCAACTAGTGAGTGGTCAGAGGCTGAACTACAACATAAAAATGAACGGCTGGCAGGAAAGTTGACATTTTAAACCTTAATAAAAAAAATCGATACAGGGCTTTAGAATATCGATACAGTATCGGGAAATGAAATATCGTGATATTCCAGTGTATCGATATTTTCTTACACCCCTAGTGATGGGTGGTATATATTCATTCAAGGAATGTTAAATCTTTATTCAAGATTAAATACAGGTTGCAAGCCAAAATGTTTTTAGTTTCATATTTAGTATTAAACGAATATTAATAACAGTAATTCAATAATGGGCAATCATAATACAAGTTAAAAGAATGTGAGCTATTCAAAACTCAATAACTTAAAATTACTGCACATTAAATATCTGTACATCAATTTAGTAACTTTAAGGACTTTCAGTCCATCCTGTCAAAATCATTAATGAAAAGTTTTTAAAGTCCAGCTGATTTGAGTCATTCACTGACAAACAGGAACTCTGAACAGAAAACAAGGTCTTCTAGTATGTCCACCTGCCATTACTAACAACAACAACAACAACAACAACAACAACAACAACAACAACAACAACAACAACAACAACAACAACAGCTGCTATCACTTTAAATCTGTCCTTAAAAACACTAAATAAAACCAACACAGTGTGAAATTTACATCATCTCAGTTTAAATTTGAATTATAATCAGGCAGCTGCGGGACAAAAGTCTTTTTGCCAAAAGAGACATAAAAACTTGCTGGAGTGAAGCAGCAGCTGTGTCTGGAAACACCGCGCGACTTTGACCAAAATTAGCTAGGTCGCAGTGTTTTCGGCTAAATATCCAGGTCAGACCTCGGGTGGTTATCCTCCTAAGTGTGTCAGCATGAAATGGAGCACAAAACAAAACAGCAACCGACTTCTCCCTGCATGTTTGTCCATGCGGCCCCTCGGTTTTAAAGCTCCTTTGTTTCAACACACAGCAGCGCAGTTTTATGTGAATTACCAAACAGCGACGAGGGTATAAAACATAGGTTGTCCAAAAATCCTTTAAAAGCTTTCAGTCTTGTTTTTTTATTCCCAGCCAGGATGTGGAGACGCCACGGGGAAGCGTTAACACCCAAACCACCTTTCTGTTGTCACCGAGGCGAGCGAGCTTCACGGTGAACGCTAGCGAGCCGCTGCGTTAGCTTCAACTACCGACACAATCTCCGAAATTTTACTTACACATTCGGAAACTTGCACACGTCGACGGCCATTACGGTCTCACGACTGTCATTCGGTTCCGCGTCTGATGCTCTGGTGGACCATCCCCTCTCTCACTTCCACCAGACCCGGTGGAGTACGATGATGCTGCTGCTGCTGCTGCTGACGGCAGGGAGCCGACGAAACAGGCTGCTCTACAGTATCTCTAGACTGAACGCTGCCACGAAGAGGACCCCAATGCGCATGCTCAATTCTTACACAGGGCTTCCTTCTGATTGGTTGGTTCACCAGCCTGGACGGAACCCGGAAGAAGAAGCTGACACTTATGCCTACGATCAAAACATCAAAGAAATCTATCATCTTTGGAAAGTTCTTACATAAAAGAGATATTTAAAAAAATCAGCTTACTTCAGAATCTTTCACAAAGAATAAATAAAACTTTATCCATACCTTCGTTAGTTAGTAGTCTACCTGCCACTTTGAAAAATAAATAATCACACAAGTACATAAGCATGTGTATGTGTAAGTAATGACAAAAGGTTAAAAATATTCAAATAATAATGGTCTGAGAAAACCATTCCTTWCTTTAGGAAACCGTGTGCACAGATCTGCAAACATTTTTGGAGAAACTAGCAAAAAGGTGGACAATTAGACAAATTATGTTCCCCACGACAAAAGTTTTTCTTTAAATCACAAACTTCACTTTCTATTAACAACAGTGACGCATACTGCTTAATTTTAACCAAAACAACTCGCACTTCAAGATAGACACGAGCTTAAAAAATGTCTACAAAAATAACTCAAAAGGATAAGCTCCAAAATGTTGGAATGTGACTAAAAATACTCACTGCAAAATCATGAAGGCTAGAAAAAATAAAGAAAAATATATAAGTCAGTTTCTTATATTGATGATTAATGTGTCTTAAATTTGAAAAATTGCAAGCAAAATTTGTGACCTGATACAACCGCCACCTACTTCTGTTTACTTACCCAACAGACAGTGACTGAAAATAGCTCAGACGTTAAACTTACTGACATATATTTGTTTACAGAAAACAACCAGCCTAATGTAGGTCACTCATTTGACTTGAGCTTTCATGAGGTTTTAGACAAATTCAGCAGAGTGCTTTGTTTACACTGAGTGTGGCGTGTTCAACTGGTTAAATGAAGGTAARTAAATTATTTAATTAAATTGTGAGGAAAAAGAAATAAAGAACTGTGGGAAAGTTTAAACTAAAAAAAATAGTGCACACTTTTGGTATCTTTTAACTTAACTTTACCTTAATGTAACTTTAACTTCAGGCAGATACTTTTATATTAGCATTTTGCAAAACTTTTGCAGGTTAACAAACAYAGCTTGTTTTTATGAAAATAAACAATACTACAGGAGGAGAGAACAGCAGATGTTTATATAACTGCTTCTTTATTGAAAGATATCAGCAAGAGGCAATGTGCCCACAATATTCTTCATGTTCAAATAACTACCAAAAAAATAAAAATAAAACAATAGTCATGAACACATTTGAACAATTTTGATCAAAATAGAGAGAATGGTAAAATTCAGATGTTCATTCAGATGTTCATAGGTACAATAAATGAAAACGTGCATTGCATTATAACCAATCCAATATCATACAAAAAACAATCTTTATCTACGGTAGATCTTTAAAGTACAGACATGAGGAAATATTCAGGAAAACATTCATGTGGAAACAATAAAAAAACATCTCTCTCTCTCTCAACACACACACACACACACACAACACACACACACACACACACAA